AAGGCAGGGAAACAGGCTTGTTCCTCCCCTCCTGCTCCTGCTGCTTTTGCTGTCTTCTGATTCTGCGAACTGTTGCTCCTGTGCCTGCCACCCTACCTTGCAGCCTGCACCAAACAAACTGTGAGGTAAATAAACCTTTTTTTTCCTGTAACTTTGGGCATTTTGTCTCTAGTGTGCTAGGCCAGCACTGTACCACTAAGCTACACCCCAGACCCTCTTTTCGTTCCTTTTTTTAAAACACAGGCAATTTTTTTTTTTAATGCACAGTAATGATCAAGGCAATAGGCTGAACATAAACTACAACAAGGGGATGATCTGACTGGCAAATGGTATGACAGGAAGAGGGAACGTCAGTGACACTGAGCTGGGACTTAGGGGAGTCACCTGGCGACTTAAAATTACCTCGTAGTCACACTAAGTAAAAAGAAACTGGTGAAGTTCTTTTCTAGAATATCTTTCACATGATCCAGTATATCCAAGACACTACATATGTTTCACCCTAGCACAGGCCACGTTTCAGGGACGCACTGGACAACGCAGACCCAGAGGTCAAACCACACGCCTCGGAGCCAACTCCGTCGTCACGCATGCTCTGCGTGGAGGAGTGAGCTGAGGGAGGGAGGCTGGCGACCTGGCGTTTCCATCTTGGTGTACTGCAAGGACAGGAGCACTGTGTGGGCAGCAAAAATAAAGATCACAGAGTAATGTGCTTTTTAAGAAAGACATGCTACTTTTATGGAAAGGTGGTTTTTATTTCCATCCTGAATGATTATTACACATTATTTAAACACATCTGAAAAAAAAATCCTGAAATAATTTAAACAGAAGGCAGAGAACAAATCAAAATATTTAACTGTAAGAATTTAAGTGAGGAAACCCAAACATTTCAACAGTAATAATAAATTATGAACAAGTCTCCATCACCAAATATCATTCTGACCAAAAGTCATCAGCTTTCCTCACAAACTACTGTGTAGGCTGCTTCCCAGATTTCCATGATAAAAATACTGAAAAAAATCCTTTCAAAATACTCATCAGGCCATCGGGTTCAATGTATTTTATATATGACAAAGTAGAGGTTATGATACTTTTTGATGGATGACACATTCTTACAAATTAAAAAAAATAGCAATGTTGGCTACAAAATTCTATTGGGGGAGCAAGGAAAAACTGGTTCCATGTCAATTAGAATATCAAAGCACTTCAATATCAAACTGCTTCAAAAGCCAATCGTCATGTATCAGTAATATACTGCATGGGGCATTCCACTGTATTTGGGTTAAGTATCAACCATACAGTGCTGCTACAGGGTCCAACAAATAAGCAGCAATTACTGCTGCCAATTCTTATTTATTCCAAAGAGATATGTTTTTACAAAGCATTATAAAACTAACTGGAATAAACAATAACATGCTACATGCCTAGTAAGTATGAGGTCATGAGTTTTGAGTCCTGATACAAAAAAAAAAAAAAAAAAAAAAAAGAAAAGCAAAGTAAACAAACAAACATGCTACAGACATAAAAAACTCCAGTGATGCGTTTGAAAATGAAGTGGTTATGCTTCATAATATATGGCAGTATCTGAAATACAGTCTGTGATCATCAATACCATTTTATTACAGAGGTCACTTGTAAATTAGCTCAGATTCTGAATGATGTTTCTAAATGAAACTTTTTCAAGTATGCATAATGTTAGTAAAGATATTTTCTCAACTCGCTTCCTCATGTGTTCAAAGGACCACTGTGTTAAGTAACAGATGAGATAGTTTTCAAAAATATTTTAAAAACATGAAATCATTTGGGGATAGCAGTGAGTAATCCATGTCCCACTGCTGTCCCCGACTGTTGTGTTTTGAACTTCAGTTTTATTTTTTTCTCTTTGAAATTCAATGGATTTGGAAAAAAAAAAAAAAAAAGGAAATAGTCCAGTGACCAAGAGTGATCCAAAAGACATTAACATCTAAAATCTACTATTTCAGATTTTAAAGAAACAAAAAAACCAAAACAGCTTTTCAGACTTTTACTTAAAACAAGTTTGTAAGAATAATGGGAAAACTAAGGTTTCTAAAACACTCAAGAAAGGCTCCTATTTCAAAAAAATGAAAAGGTCTTGCTTCTACTTAGCTGTGACATACAAGTGTGGATTTAATAGCAATGTGGTTTTAGCTTTATCATCTAGCTTAATTGCTTAAATCACAAAAGCATTTCCAGACAAGATTGCAAATAAATATGATACAAACTGTAGAAATGATTTTTAGCAAAAACAGCTTCAAAAATTTCCTACATAGCAAAATGTCCCTTTGGAAATGGATCTTCAGTGCCTTTGGACTGTTTCGTTAAGTGCGGCTTTACCCGCTGCTGCACTGGGGTATAATAAACCTCCCGACTCCTTTGTCCTTGGAGAATAGATCACATTAGCTTTTATTCTCTGCACTTCTAATAAAGGTACATTATTAAAAACAAAACAACAAAACAAAAATTTAGTGCTGTCAGCTCACATCTTTATCATCTAGAAATGGTAGAAATAAGGTAAATCAGAAAAATCACTTTCTTAACAGTGTGAAGTGTTGAAATGTTGGCACCAATGAAAGATGAGCAATGGTTACACTCCAATTTAAATGTCTCCATTCACGTCACTGCCTGTTGCAGCAGCACTAAACGCTACTATCCATGTCTGCACTGACACCAGTCTTGGGGGGACATAGAACTCACTTTATGATTCAGGTAATGAAAACAAAGAACCACCACTTCAATCCCACTGGCTGGGTCATGGATGGCCTTCATTCATCACTCTAGGCCTGAGAGTTTGTATTATGAAAATATAAACCCACCAGGGTTAGTGGAAGATGGTTTCCATGCTCAAGAACTGTAGCTAACTTGGGGAAACCATTTAAATAAAAATACAAAGATAACCTTAGTTGTTTTGGGTCCTGGGTCTACCAGCTGTGTCAGTATCATCTCCTAACACAACGCAACCAAGGTTTTCTTTAAAAACCCTGAAAGGGAAGAAGGAAGACTGAAAACCAATTTCAAAAATCTATACGAGGCTGCCAGGCCAGCAAATAACGGTCAGGGTGACTTTGTTCCTCTGCTCCTTCAGCATGGGGACCAGCGCCGAGTGGCTCATCCCCGCCGTGGACAGGCCGTTCACCGCGACGATCATGTCGCCGCATCTGGACAGACAGACAGAGACCACAGCACAATGTTACTGCGTCAGCAGTGCTGGAGACAGGACATCAGTCGTTCAGCACAAGAGTCACCATTTTACTTACTGCTTACCAGCAGCGAGCGTGTACTCACTACTCTGAGAGACAGTCACTAACTCTACATGGCCTTCCCTGCCAACGGGGCTACACCTGAACCAATACTCAGTAGGAAGATTCCAGGGACAAGCCAAGGAACTTCCAGGGCAGGATATAATTAGATGAGCCAATCTGCTTTCCATAAAAGGAACCAAGTATCTGGGGAGCTAGGGTTAGGGTAGAGCCCTGTCTAGCACTGTGCAGGACCTTGGCTCAACTGCAGGACTGCATGTGCAGAGTACTGGCTGCTGCGCTATTGTTACTGCCATGGGCAGTGCTGGGGTTAAGCTTGTGCCTGTATACACACTAGCCAAAGCTCCACTACCGAGTCACACTCTTCAGCCTGCTGGTTATTATTCTATCATTCGTAGAGTGCGCACCTTGGAGAGTGAAGTTGAGAATAAGCTTCATCTGTCCTCTCAGCAGTACGAGGAGAACCATCAGAAGTGGATGATGAAGCGAGAACCTTCCTGTCCTTGTAAATTTACAGAATTATGATTTCTGGTCATTAGTTTACAACACGAGTGAGTATGCTGTTTCAGTGCTCACCACTGTAATTTCATTTTCTAAGTAGCTGATGTCCAAATTAATAAACTACAGAACCGAAGCTTGGCTGATAACTTACTGAGAGAACATGCACTCATTCTAAGGTAAAGATCTTTGCAGACCTGTCAGGAGCGTCTTGCCTGGAGTCTGATGAACTTTCCCCGTGCTATTCTGGTGCTGCATTCTCTTTGCACACCGTGCATACTCTCCGCGTGTGCAGCACTTTTTCTAGTGTGCCTACATCTACTTTTTAAGGAACTGGTTCTTCCACCAAGGTGCTAAGAGTTACAATCAATCACTCCTGTCCTGTCGGGGACAGTCCCTTGACATGGCTGCTCTTTCTTTTCCTGGTGCCTGAGCTTTGAGACAGAAAAGGCTGTGCACTGGCTCAGTGCTGTGTGCCGTGGTGCCAGTTAGCACAAGGCCTGGTAGCCAGGGCCAATTAACCACTTTCAGCTCTTTGAACTGGGCAAGTTTCTTAGCCTTTCTGAGCCTTAGTTATCTTTTACGTAAAAGAGAAACGGGAACACGGTTACCTTGCAAGGTTAAGAAGATGACATAATGCATGCACCCCCTGGCACTGTGGCTGGCATATCATCCATCCATTCATTCATTCATTCGTTAAATATTTACTGAGATTTTACTATCTCTGTTATGGTTGGTAGGGATACAATAAACGGAACAAAATCCCTTCCTCACAGAGCCTATATAAACATAATGTCATGTAGAGATTAGTGCTATGGAGAAAAACTAAGTGGAACCATCAAGTGGCAAGACTGAACCTGAGGGGGTGGCAGGGAAAAGCGGCCCTGAGCTCACTGTCATGTCTGAGTGCAGCCAGTAAAATGACTCAGTCCAGTTCTGGCCGTCAGATGAATAAAACACAGCTGGAAGATGATAAAAGTAATGCTTTTGTCTAGGTCAGGGGTTGGCAAACTGTTTCTATAAAAGGTCACGCAGTAAACACCATGGGCTTTGTGAACCAGACGTCTTTGCCAGGACAACTCAAGCTTGTGCAGACACACGAGAAGGCTGCACTGCAATAAAACTTCATTTACAAAAGCTGGCCACGGGCTGGAGAGAGGGGACCCTGAGCTGGACCATACTCAGCATATCACACATACATCACATCGTAACAAGAACGAGACTCACTTTAACCTCCCGTCGTAGTAAGCAGGAGTTCCCAGGACAATGGTTTTAATGAAGAAAGGCTGATTGGTGTGGTTCTCTTCGTATCCACCAACAATGCTGAAGCCCCAGCTTCCCAGGTGGCTTCTTCGTAGAACTATGTCATGGCAGCTGTGAAGGGCACTGCGGAGAAACAGAGAAAACATGGATGCCTCACAACCTGCTCGTCTACGCTGTAACGCCACAATGCGGTATTCCTACCACTGTCGGAAACAAAGCAGGAGGGCTACTACTTTACTTCCTTTTGACCTTATTAGGACTGCTGTTGTTTCTGGTGCTGGGGGTGGAACCAGAAGATGGAATCACTAGGCAAGTGCTGCATTTCGGAGCTACTGGTCCTAGCCTGTATTTCTGTAACTTGTGTTTCTCTAGTTTTCTCTTCCTAAGTAAAGACATAGGTACAAACAGATATAGGAAGCTTAAGCAAAGCTAGTTTCAGGTGAAAGCACAGAAACTGTATGAAGATATGTGCTGGTCACAGCATCCCAGTAACATCATTTCTAGTAATCGTTTGTATTTATAGGAGAAATTACAAAGTGATACCGAAGAGATCCAGTACTGCTGCTCTGAGCACTCAAATAAAAATAAGGAAGTGACCAGCAGTGTAGCTTTCCAAAAGGAGCTAGAGGCGAGTGGTGTGGCTTAGTGGGAGAGAGCTTCCCTTTTAAGATCCTGATTCTAAAAAAAAAAAAAAAAAAAATCCTGATTCGATCCCCAGCACTGCAAATAACTAAGCAGTTACAAAACGATTTCCAAAAAGTATCTTTTTGTAATAGTTTTTCATTATTAAGTGAAATTAGACCCTCTGGCATCTAAGAGCTTCCTCCCACACACAGGCCTAGTTTAGAAACATTTATTTCAATTACTCTGAGTCTTCTGTTGTGGCAGAAGAGCCCCCCGAGCCCCCCTTCCAGGAAGGCAGAGCTGCCCCTGCACAGCCCGGAGTCCTGACAGCACAGCCGCCCGCCCCCTGGCAGCAGAGCAGGATATGCGGCTCCTGAATACAAGTGCACACAACAGTGGCCTCTTACTGATCAGTTTTCTTTCAGAACAGGCAGGCTCAAACTCAGGTTGTGTAACACTGCCTATTTCTCATCTAACGCCTTTTTTACTCTGCTCAGCATGGAAGAACATGCTGCAGGCAGAGATGCTCCTCAGGATGAAAGCAAACTCCATGGCTGCTTCTCCAGGACACACTGCCTTGCCTGCCACCAGGAGACCCAGGGGCTCTGCCGAGCTCCTGCACAGCGCACACGGTGGCCATTGGCTCTGCCTTGGCAGGTTCACTGGCAGCCCCAGGAGGCTGGTAGAAAACAGGACAAAACACATGAGGCTCCTCTGAAGCCTGGAACCTCCTGCTTTAGCAGTAGCTCTGTAGGAGTTTAACAGCAACCACCTATCCACATTTATGTTTCAGTGACAAAACTCGGTTTTAATGTAAATATATTTGACACAGTTAAATCACCTTGTTTATAACAAAACAAAACCAAACCCTAAATCGCTTTCCAGGTCTCTAGATGTCTGACATGTGAATCTGTCTGGCCCAGGCTTACCCCACCACAGGTACAAGTATGCCTACCCCATTACACAGCCACAAAGCTGTTGTTTAGTACCTTGGAAGCCCAAGCCACATAACCCATGATGGGGACCAACTCGCGTCGTACTCATTCTCACTGAAAGTACTTGGCAACTCCTCCGAGGTCTGAGTGGCCTCCTCGACAATCTGGACCTCTAGCGCCTTGAGGGCAACAGCCGAGGAGGCGGCACTGGCCTTCAGCATAGCGACAGCCTCGCTGTGACTCAGGTTGGTCAGGTCGATGCCGTTGATGTTCAGCAGCACATCACCTGGTATTGGGAAGAAACCAGCACACTGATCTCTGCCACCGAGTGGTCATTGCCCACAATGCTTGTTTATAAACTAATCCACAACTGCTAGTTTCAATAACTCAGATAGGAGAAGGACCTTCTAAAAAAATGTCCATAAATTTTGTAAGTGTAAAAACAAGTCCAATAATGGAAGATATACTGATATAATTCGTAGTTTAAAATACTGCCGTAGTATCAAGCAAGAAGTGTTGTGGGGGCCTCTGATCCAACCGGACGATCACACCATTAGTGCGAGTTTGGTGGTGCACAGACCGAGGCATATTCACTGCTCTGCAGTGAGCTGCAGAGGTTTCTGCGGTTCCTCAAAAGCTATTTGCCTCTTGGCTCTTTTTAATACAGCTGACTTTGCACTGATACTGTTTTACACATCAAGACAGCCCTGCACAGTTCCACGTGCCACAGTACCCTTGGGGTACACAGTGACAGGAACCTACCACTGGAACATCTTCCCCTGCTAAGGGAGAGGAGACTGGCTGCTCTCAGGTAATACAATGAAGTGGGGAATGAGATAAGAGGTTAGGAAAGAAAAGGCTAGTTTTGGAGGAAGCAGGTATTATATGATAAAGCCCATAGGATTTGTCATTTTCCTAATTTACCATCTAGTTTTCAGATTATTAAAGCAAAACATTCTCACTGTAGAATGATAGCAACTACTGCTAGCCCGCTTCTGGTCTCTAGGTTTATCTGTTCTGGACATTTCATAACATGAAGACTTTCACTTAGCACAGTGTCTTCAAAAATCATCCCAATTGTACATTGTGCCAATATTTTATTTCTTTTTAGGGTCAAATAATATTTCAATGTATGGCCCGCCCACATTCTGTTGATCTGGCCACTAGGAAGTGAACAATAGGGCTGTTTCCATTTGGGGCTACGGAATACTGCTGTGAACACGGATTTCTAGCTTTTACGTGGATATGTTTTTCTTAGGAGTGGGATTGCTGGGTCATGTGGTTCAGCTCTTGGAGGGATGACCACACTGTTTCCTGTAACAGGTGTACCAGTTTCTATTCCCCCAGAAATGCATGAGCACCTCCCGTGTCTCCACGCCCTTGTCAACTGTAGCGTCTGCCTTACTGTGGTCACCTGTTGAGCCTGAGGTGATGCCTCTCTGCAGCTTAGCTCCCGTATCTCTAATAACCAGTGATGCTGGGCAGCTCTGCGCGATTTCTGGCCATCTGTTTCTCTTCCTTGGAGAAGTGTCTATTTAGATTTTTTGTCATCTTTGAATTGGGTTATTTTTAATATTAAAATATTCTAATTTTTGTCTTCTGTAAATTGGGTTTGTATTGTTACATACTGAGTTGTAAAAGTTCTTTATATATTCTAGATTTGCCTTATCTTTTTGTTTTCTTGATGGTGCCTATCAGAGCACACAGCTTTAATCTTAAAGTCCAGGTTACCTAATTCATTCTTTTTTTGTGTGTAGTTAAGAAACTACTGCCTGATTCAAGGTCATGAGGTTTGATACCTGTGTGTTCCTCTAGAGGTTTAGCTTTTACACTTAGGTAGTGAAATTCACTATGAGTTAGCTTTTGTATATGGTGTGAGACAGGAGCTCAACTTAAGTTTTAGAAAAGTAACTTTTAAGACTCAATTTTCTTGCCATATGAACAAACTAGGTCAAAAGACAGTGCAATGTTTACGATAGGAATAGGGGTTAACTGTACTTATGCAAATTATACAGCACTGAAAGGGAATACAAATAGTGAGTTTATCCCTAAAATTAGGTCTGCCCTCTGTCCCAACCACTTTCTGAATAGATATTTATAAGCAACATTTGTATTTTAGCAAGATGGCCCATCATAGTAGAGTATCTGGCATAAGTACATAAGCTTAAATCTCTTAGTGGATCTTTTCCAAAATAAAAATAATCTAATAGTCAGAGTAACGGTTTGAAAATCCTGGAACTATAATGGTTCAGCGATTTTGTTTTACACTGGGTATTTTCTGAACCTTACAGAAGGATGTTATGTTTCTGTAAGGAAAGGTATTTTACAGAGTTTTGAAAGACATGTTTAATAGCAAACTTTGCAGATATCCTTTATTTTTTAAAATGGGAGCTTACTGCAGGGCTAAGAGGTAGTTCTATTTTACCTCTCTTAATTCTGCCATCTCGTGCGAGGCAGCCGTGAGGGGGCACGCTGGTCACAAAGATGGGCAGTTCACCACTCTTACTTCCTCTGCCTCCAGCCACTGTCATCCCGAGGGACTCATGCGGCTCCTTCTTCACAGTAATGTGTTTTTCTTGGCATGTAACACACTGAGTAAGATCCTAAAGCAGGAAAGGAAAAACCGGGTACTGAGTAATACACGACTGAGGCAAAGACAGCTTGAACTACGGCGATAACACTGTCAGAGGGCATGCTCTAGTTTCTTTTCTTTTTACTTCTTACTAAAAATTAAAAGTAACAGTTCTTGACAGTAATACTGTAAACCATGTCAAACTTTGGACTACTGCATTTTCATATGACTATTTATGGAACTGAAACAAATTTAGAACTGCTGACATATGGAAATCAAGGGAAAATAAACATATCACTATGTTTTTGAGTTTTAAGACTTTGAAGACATCAAATTTTATCTCTATCTTTTCTCCAATTCTTTGGAAGAAAAGTTAACAGAGCATAGAAAAATGTGAATTTTGCTAGCTTCCAGAAAAAAATTATAGTCCTATTTTTGATTCCTACTGACAAGCACTTCATGTGTTCAGTCACAAAGCCAGTGCAAATCTACTTTCAAAACCTTCATGAAAAGTTGAAGGTACATGAAATAATCAAATTTTTGAAAAAGATAATAGGAAAATGAATTACCAACAAAGTGTTATTCTCAGGGAAAAGCTACGTTTACTAACATTTGCTACTATTACTCACTTTTGAGATATCTCTAGAAGAAAAAGAATTTATTTACTTACTTATAAGAAAATTTAAAACATTTTTTCTTTCAAATTAGAATTTAATTAACAAGATATACATATGCAAATTAGTATTAAAATAACAATAACATTTATTAAAGTTCAACATACACAAAACTAATGATTTGGTTGCATTATTTCATTTAATTCTTGCAAAGTGCTGAAAGAAGATACTATCATTAGCTCCACTTCATTTATGTGGAAAACAAACTCAAAGAGGTCATACAACCTGCCTCAAATTACCTAACTGAAAGTGACTACGTGGGTTAAAAGTATGTGTGTGAGCCGGGTGTGCTACCTTCATCTGCAAACCCCCGGAGCCGGGTGTGCTACCTTCATCTGCAAACCCCAGTACCCTGAGAGGCTAATGCAGGGACATCACAAGTTCAAACCGACCCCGGGCAACTTAGAGACCCTGTGTCAAAAATTAAAACTTAACAGAAGGGCTGAAGCTGTAGCTCAGTGTGAAGGCCCAACAGCTGATCTCAGACCGTGTGGTGCACCATGTGTGCGCACTGGGCATCTGCATCCACGCAGGCAGGCAGTGCAGCAGTGGCTGCTGCCGTCTCAGGTGTTACCGCTCGTCATCAGCTTAGAGAAGGCTGGAGACACTTACTAACAATACTGAAAACAAATACATGAACTGTAAGTACTGCATGCTGACTGTGCCACTAGAGCTCCAGAAACACATTTATAGAATTATAACATTTTCTTTAATGACCCTTCTCAGGACCTGTAATCCATATCTGCCCTAAGTTTTACCAAAGGAAAGACTTTGTACTTTTTGTTTGTCTAGTGCTGGGGAATGAACCAGGGTCTCTCACATGCTAGGCAAGCACTCTACCACTGAGCTGTATCCTCTGTTACAGCTCCTGAAAGTTCTGGCCCTGCAAACTTGTCAGCTTCTTCAATCTTCTAGCTAAAAATATGAATGCATGCAAGCATCCTTCAAAATCCAGCACACACAACCTTACAAAAACTCTGGTAGACAACCGTGAGTATCCACACTTAAGGAGTTTCATTCCTTAGGTTTTCAGGTTGTTCTATTTCACTACACACAAAAATACATGTGATTTTTCCTCAAGAATCAAACTTCAAAGATCACACTTAGTATGCTTCAAGAAACTAAGGGTTCAGTAACACATGAATGTTTATTGGCAGTTTTTTTTTTTTTTTTTGGGTACTGGGGATCAAACTCACGACTGTCTACTTGCAAAGCAGGTGCTTATGCCACTGAGCTAAGTCCCCAGCAACACACAAATGTTTATTCAAGCAACTACTGAGAGGTGCAGTGGCAAAGTAATACATACCGTCCTGTACTTTTTAATGATTATACTTCCTGAGCAGAGTGTTTTTGGTGAATTATGTTTGTTTTCCCTGGTAGAGCTTAATTCTACTTAATCAGGATTTGACAAAACTGCATTTGATAACAAATGCTGTCTGTTAGTGGCACACAGATCAATTACCACATTCCATTCCATGCAGTTGTCCCAACTAGGGTGTGCCAAGTACCCAGAGTAAGAGTGAGGTCAGCACTGTTTTTTAAAACATTGTTACATAAAATTATAGAAAACAATCAGCAGAGTTATAAAAGAAAAACAAGTGCATGAAATAAAAATAAAACATATGCAGAGGTCTCTATATGAATATCAGAATGATTAAGTATAATTTAAATTGTCTTTTTTTGAATAATGGGACTCGAACTCAGGACCTCATGCTTGTGTCACTGAGCTATATCCCCAACCCTTTAAATTGTCTTAAAACATAATGCTGCCAGATACCCATGTCTCAAGTTATTATTAAATTTAATGACATACAATTATTTCTACCCACTTTCTGTTTTCTTTAGTCTTTCTTTAAATAAAATTTAAAAAAAATTAATGACATACAAGATTCAATTACCAACATGGGTCCTATTTTAAATTTACAACATATATACAATTTACATATTCACAAAAGCTTCGAAAGAAGCAAGAATTAGATATATGAAACAACGCTTCAAAATTCTTTTTCAAAGTAGTAACTTTTTACAGTCATCATTATAAAGGCAAATTTATAGGCTTTCTTCTTATACTTGGATTTTTGTTCATAAATGAGAGCTAGTCTGTGGCCATCTCTCCCTTCAGTACCACCTACACTAAAAATCAGACACACCCGGTGAGCCCCAAACACTGCCCTTCAGCTGTGCTTTCCTGGGGTACCCTCACCAGGCTTCACAGGGAATTATTCCCTCAAATATACTTAAATTTAAAAGCTACTTGAGCAAAAACGGAGCTTTCTATAGTTTCTTAAGCAGATCACTAAGTAAGATTTTGCTTGATCAAGCTCGGGAATGTCACTTAAGGAGAACGAAGGGCCCAGGCTCCTATGCAGCTGATCCTCCTAGAGAACTGCTGAGCACCAGCCATCGTTACACTCCCGGCCTAGCGGAAACTGACCTGAGATGGAAGACCAAGTAGAGTAAGCCAGTCCCCAACGCTAAGTGCCATCGCTTTTTGGTTTTGGAATGCTCAAGTGCTCAAGTGAGACAGCTTCGAAATTCTTAGGGCTGAGAAATGGGCTTGGGTTAACCTAAAAACCCACGACACACTGATTCTGAGGAAACCGTGACAAAGCTCAATGTGTGAAGACTTTGTGATTTAGGATCATGTGTTTCTCTACACTGTAACATAAAAATGCATACACTCATACAATTTCCGATTTAGGTGAATGCCTGTAACTCATTACTGTGGGCAGCAGCCCACAGGCACACGTACTTGCTATCACATCCCTGCGCTTCTCTTCCAATCACACCGCTAGCGCTTATGTTTAAACAAGCAGCCCATGCTAAATCCCACTTTCGATTAGGGCTAAAAAAATTAAGACTTTGCTGGAAGACTGTATATTTCTAGTCACTCACTTGACAAGGGACCCTTCCCTGATAAGGAACTACCTCTGGCAGCTAAGGACCTAAAAAGGATGCCCTTCTCTGAGGTGGCAGACAGAGGTCACATCCCAGAGAATGATCTGCATTTACATCTCACAGAAAAAGCCCGCTTTGTAAATGTCTCAGCAGCCTGCAACAGTACAACAGTATTTCTGTGAAGGGTCCAAAAGGAAACAGATCCTTACCTTATGAGAGCTCGGTCTGTTCTGAGACAGGGGCTGGGCATGGTGCTGGCTGCTGCTGTGAGTTCCTGCCTCCCGGATGGTGCCACTCGGCTGGGGTCTCCCCGGTCTAGCGATTGTTAAACTCACTCTCTCCCCGCTGGCCTGGAGAACACACATTGCCACCTGTCATCAGTGTATCATTTTAAAGGCTACAGGACTGACATTTCCTACACTTTCCTCAGTCACCAGGCCAGGCCTCACCTGGCAGCAGGGAGAACAGAAGGAAGTTACAGTTTTACACACACACACGCACACATGCACGTTTAAATGCTGAATTAAAGATTTATGACTACCATTTTAAATGTAGAATCCTATTGTCTTAAATCTATCTTAAATCATGTCTACTACATACAAAAGTCATTTTGTGCTTGTTTTATTTACTTGACTCTTATTCTTGGTCATGACCGAATCCTCAATGTTAGGATTACAGACTGCTTTCACAAATTGTGGTACAGCAGAAACCTCCCCCATGATTAAAGTCAATGTTAAGAAATCACTTTATTTTCAGTTCTTCAGTTAAGAAATACGTGACGGGCAATTTTGGTACCCACTGTAAATTTCCTGCTACTCAGGCATTTCATTAGACTAGTTTTAGACAAGCTCTTCAAAATAACTGGAGCATTCCTCAAGGTCTTGGGACTTGAGTAAGGATAATAGCCAGGAAGAGTGTTTAGAAACCTGATCTGTTTAACACTCTTCTGACACCCTGGATTCTTAGATTACACTGCTGTGGAGTGCTAACAGCTCCTTTGGATTTTATTTCAATATATATGGGCACCTTCATTACTGTTTAACACCTTATAATTACAGCCACCGTTTCAACTTCACTTCAAAACAGTTTTTACAAACCTATTAATGGAAGTACATTCTTAATCTTTCAAGATGGCTTGAAAACACTGTGTGAATGTGATGGGAGGACAAAGACCGCATTTAGCACTCCACAGTGTTAATAAATAAAACATCACAGGTTTTGTTACAAATCAAGATTTTTAATTAAGGAAGCAGAGGCAGGGGGATTATGAATTTGAATTCCATCTAATGGGCAACCTGGCAAGACCCGGTTTCAAAATAATAAAGAGGGGTTGGGGACACAGCTCAGTGGTAAGGTACCTGGGTTCAAGCCTCAGTATTGCAAAAACACAAATAAGATGCAGAAATATAAGATGCTAAGTAAGAATATTTGTAATTCATGAGAAGCAAATTCTGTTGCTGGGAGTATAAAACTGAAATGATCTTTCTGGAGGGAAGATGAGCAAAATGTCTTAAACTGGAAAACAAAGCACGAACATCTGTCAGTAGAGCAGGGATTAAGTTATGGCTCATGGGTACCGAATAACTACTAAAACTCATGGCACTGAATCTGTACTAACTTTCATTTAAGATGTCCACAACATACTGCTGACAAAGAAAGAAACATTTAGAAATTACAACAAGGACATGTCTGTCCTCCCCCTCTTTCCCTTCCGTTTTTCCTTGCAGACAGGGTCTTGCTCTAGTCTAGGATGGCCTTGAACTCACAATCCTCCTGCCTTAGCCTTCTGATTGGAGATTACGGATGTTTGTCCCTACAGCTAGCTTACATGTACATTTTATATTCCAAAACAGTATGACTTTTAAGACATTGTCAAAAATAATCTTAAATTCAGGAACTTCAGTTTTCTACTATTTGGGGAAAACTCTACTATAAAATATGATGTAACTACTTACAGAAATCCAAATGTAAACTATTATCAGGGAAAATTTAGTTTTTACCTGTGTAGTTATATTTTTCACATTTTAGTTAGAAATTCATGGTGCAACCACTATGGAAATCAGTGTGGAGGTTCCTCAGAAAGCTGGAATTGGAAGTCCCATTTGACCCAGCTGTCCTGCTTCTAGCATTTTCCCAGAAGAATTGAAAACATCATACCACACTGATATATGTGCACCCATGTTTATAGCAGCACAATCCGTAATAGCCAGATCTTGGAAACAACCTAAGTGTCCATCAACTGAGGAATGGATAAAGAAGATGTTATTTTTATACAATGTTGTACTATTCAGCTATAAAGATGGATCACATTGAGGCTTTTATAGGGAAAAGGACCAACTTGAGATTATACTCATAAGTGAAATAAATTACGCTTACATGTGTAAATTCTGTATTGCTTCCTTAGTGTGAGAAACCGAAAGAGCAAAGAAGATCCAAAATCTACAGTAAATGTTGTGTAAGGGTAAGAAACAGCTCAAAGGGAAAAACAACTGGGATAAGGGAAAGGAGGAAAGAAGGAAGGGAAAAGGAAAAAGATATAAATCTCTGTGTGTGTGTGTGTGTATATATATATATATATATATATATATATATATGATAGCTAAGATGACTATACTACTAATTCTATTATTCTTCGAAAAGAAAAGAACAGTTAGTACTCATATGATTAGATCAGTTTTGCATGTCTATATCTGGTGACCTAAGCAACTCTTCTGAAGATACCAATATGCAATATTACAACCATTTTGGAAGCCTATGTTGTTGGTTTATGTTTGTTGTTAGTGTTTGTCTCTTTTGTTTTTTTTCTTTTTTTCTCTCTTTTAAATAATTTTTAAAAATTCCATGAGGACGTATTTGGGAATCTTCCTGAGCTGCCTGCTGCTGCCTCTTCCGTATCAGTCAAATCCCGTGACAGCCTCCCCCAAACCGCTGCTCCTTTCCCCTTACCCCAATCTCCACTCTTACTAGAACAACTGGTTTGTGACAGTGCAGCAGCTGGCTGACATCCACAGGAACGCGCTCTAACAGCTGCCTTCAATTTCAGGGAATTTAAAAGCACTCAATTTCTTTAAACCTCAAGTCTGTAAAATGAGTCCAGTACCTCCCCTCAGTGAAGCAAAGCAGTTGAGACGTGCGTTTTCACTGTTACCTGCCTGTGTTATAAACACATTTTAGTAACCTATACTAATGCCTAGCTCCTTTTACAGCTTTTTGTTGTGCTTACGGTAAGAGAAATACCTTCAGTGTGGCCCCCTTACTAGCTGCCGAAGCAGCTGCAGAGCCCACCGATTTGCTCTGGGCAATTTTCCAAACAATTAATCTTCAAGCTCCCCCAAACACATGCCTTTTTCAGTCATGACTATCTTTCCTTCATGGAGATACTAGAGGACCAATTTTACTACGTGCTTGAAATGCTTGAATTTCTTAAATGTTTTTGTAAAAATGGAGTTCCCTTATGTTGCCATGGCTGGTCCTGAACTCCTACCTATTTCCAGAGCAGCTGGGACTATAGGTCCTTGGCTGAGACAAGTTATTCTTAACAAATAAAAATTTTTCTCCTACTTACGTGGCTCCTGAAGGGGAGTTACGAGTCTCAGTTACTCACACCCCTCGTCATCACAGATCCTCTGAGCCTCACTTTCCTCTGTGCAGAAGGGGGACATTGCTATCTGTTACATCTGCCTTGCTAGGTGGAACCCAGGGATCAAATAAGAAATGAATGTGAAATAGTAGATCCTGCACTGTATTAAAGGTTGGCTCCCAGTCATGTTGTTTTTAGGAAAACATTCATGTACAAGGAAGTTATCGTGTGAATTTTGAAGACTTCAGGCAGCCTCGTCTGATTTTCCAGTGATTGTCAAACGCCCCCTGAGTTCTGACGTCGCGCCAAGGTAACAAGCATCTCTGGGCAGAATGTACAGCTTGGCCTCTGGCATTTACCTGGATGATCTGGGCGGCCAGCTCCGGTGTCCCGTGCTTCAGGTCATGCCCGTTGATGGCCAGCACCCGATCATTGCTGCACAGCCTGCCGTCCTGGGCTGCCAGGCCCCCTTCCAGCAGGTCCAGGATAAACACACCGGGCTCATCTGTCCTTCGAACCAACTTAATGCCAAGCTGTTCACCAGAGTCCCGTTTATGAAGAACCACGTGGAAGACCTCCTCCCGGGCAGAGCTGCCGTCGGAATGGGCATGTGCCCGGCTGCCAAAGCGCCGCTCCCGCAGCACAGTGAGGTGCAGTGTGGTGCACGGCTGGGAAAGCACAGCTCGGGCATAGTTATGAGACACATTGCTGATGTCATAGTTGTTGACCTACAAAAAACATTGCGATTCAAATGTGACAATGTCTCATTTTCCTAATTTGTAAAAATGTTTGTATGGCACTGCTGATGGAAATGAGCATTGTGAAATGCTACATAATCACTGCTTACAAAGCAAACCTTTCTAAAGACATTTTAAAATAAAGTTTCTAAAATTAACTTACAATGAGAGGAATCAGGTAGAGAACAGTAATTAGAATCACAGGTTTTGAAGATAGTCTTCAATTAGAGTCCTTGGTTCTGCCATTTACTAATTGATAACTTCAGGCAGAACACGTTTTGAGTGTTTCCTCGTCATTTCCAATCAAATACACTTTAACCCAGAGAAAATAAACTTTCAAAAAAAGTGGCACATTCCAAATACACAACCTTATTTTAAATGAATGACTTTTACAGTAGATAATAACGATTTCATTCTATTTCTTTAGCATACAGTGTATGTATGTATATATATAAACACTAAGCATAATTCAATACTCATGTATCATTTACTAATTAAACTTTACAACCTTGAAATAATTAGTGAGCAAGCCTATAATTTAGTAGCTATCCAAGAATTTGAGGGAAGTGTTGATTTTTTTTTTTTGGTGCCAGGGATTGAACTCACAACCTTGCATTTGCCAAGCAGGCACTTCTTACGCTGCTGAGCTAAACCCCTGGCGGAGACAAGTGTTGATTAAGAGGGGCTCAATACTAGAACTTTCAGGTAGTTTTTAGAAAACCAGGCTGACATGAACTCGAAGTCAAATCATCGTTCTGGCCATTTAGCTAAAAACTACCTACTTTGGGGTTCAATTTTTCCACTTATATTTGGACATATCACAAAGAACTTTACAAAATGGCTGGCTAAAATTCTGTAGTATTTTCCAGCTATGTGCAAATGAGACCTCACATTTTCTTTGTGAAGTAGGTTGAGAAATACTGTACCATTGGAAAAGAAGATTCATTCTCCATAGATGCATAATTGCCAATGAAATTCAGAGAAAGCAGAGACCAAATAAAACATATTTTTCTGATTTTGTAAAAATAGCACTACTGTAATAAACTACATCATATTTTGGGGCCAAGTGTATTTTTTTAACCAATATGATCAACACTTTGCTTATTATTTTCCTTCAAGGTGAAAACTCCTAAATTTTTGATGCTTCTGATCAAAGATACTCATTTTTAGTAATGCTCTAAAAGTTGTAATGTTTAATAATGCTATTGAAAATGTACAAAAACAGCACTGTTTCCACCAAAACTGCTCAAATGGCTGCATATAAATTTATCTCTAAAGAATACCAGAAGACCCTGGGGCATATGATCCTCCTTTGAAAAGGGTCTATTTAATAGAACAATACATACACTTGTCTATATCTGCATTTAAATGTGAGGAAACCAAAGCTACCCACTGTTAACTCTGTAAGGTTTGTTAAAACTGTAGCTTAGCTCTCTGGTCTGCTGGTGAATCAGCTTACAGCCTCCTGGGGATTTCAAACTGGTTCACTGCATTATTTACCCAACTTTCACAAAGTGGAAGGTAGAAAAACTACCAAACAGGCGTATTTCCAAGGGTTTTACTTTTGAATGACTTTAAATATTTCTCTGCAAAGTGGGCGACTTTATCTATTGGCTCTAACACACAGTAAAAAGCCAATCAGGAGTCAGGGCCTGCAACTGGAGACTTTGTGAATTCATTACCAGGTGATGTGTGCACACTTTTCAGAACAAAGGGGTTTATAGTTTACTGATGAAATATATTTGTAAACCAAACAAAAACCAATCTCGATGATACTTTTAAAAATATAAATGAAAACAAAGCCTTTGTTTTTATCTTTAAACTTTAGAAAAAAGAATGAAAATGTATAAAAATGGTAAAACCCAATGCTGGCACATTGCCAGTAGCAACAAACAAAAGGCAAAAATAAGCACACACTTAAATTACAGCCAGAAGGGCTAGAAGTACGAAAAAGATAAGACACTGTGGAAGCTGCAAACAGGGTTTTCCTGCTCTTCTGCCCTAGACTACCAAGGTGTCAAGAGGTCCGGGAGGGCAAGAAACTGGCTGGAAGGTTCTGTTACTGCATGCAAAATGGGGCCAGGAGCTAGGAAATGAGGAGGGAAGGAAAGTCTCTTCCAAGTTGTACCCGCCTCACAGCCAGAATACAGAAATCTGATTTTACATAAACTGGGTTAGTTATGCTTTCTGTATGTTTCTATTTCCTGGAAAGGTCAGACCCAGCTGCCCCGGTGGCCTATCTTCAACTTCCCTCCCAAATCTGAGTATTTCAAGAACTAAAGCTTCTGATCATTCTACATTTTGCTTTAATAAAAGAGATTGCTATTCCCAACAGGATGTCAGCAAAATTCACCCTTCTATTGGTTCATCAAGGATTTCTTGAACACATAGTAAATGCTATGAGAAGTTTGTATTACAATCTACACTACCACGGTTGTTAAAATCACCGGAGAAAGGTTGTACACAATTTGGTAAAATGTTTTAACAATTTACTATAGTTGGTTATGTGCCAAAGCAAAAAATGCTATCAGTAATTCAGGCAAGTCATTAAGTAGTTAAGGAGGGATTCCTGTGGCATGAATGGATGAACAAAGCTTTCAGGATGAAACTTGGAACACAAGGCAAGGACACACTGGAATGTGGGAACGGGCCATCCACAGGGAAGCAAGAAGACGGTTGTGTCTAACTCCCCACTAGAATGCAAATGCACATTTCATGAAGACAACAGTGTTTTGTTTTTAAATGTATCCCTAGCAAGGAGGGCAGTGCCCAGAACACCCTAAGAAATGAACAAACTGGTATGCCAAACACTAGAGAAGGCATTAAGATTAAAACAGGTTGCATAAGGGACCACAAAGCATGGGGATCTGACTGTTAGTCTGAAGCCAATGCTGGAGCTGAATTTTTGCAAGAAAAGCAGGTGACAGCTGTATTACCTTGGCAGTGATCACGCTGGGTTGTTAGGGAGGAGAGCTGGGAGGCAGGCTGCGTGAAGTATTCTACTAAGTCAGATTTGATAAAATGAAGGCCCAGACTAGAAAGGTAATAGGCAAAATGGAAGAAAGAAACAGGATCAGCAGATCACAGCAAAGGATTAACAAATTTAAGGAAGGAAGAGTCCTCACGCTTGGGTTGCTAGAAAACCTTTTTCTCGTTCTCGACTACTTCTCTCTTGTAGAAGTTAGCTGCTTTTAATACCTTGGTAAATGCAGCATTTTGGGGGTAGCATCTGTTTCCTTTGGGAGGGGCAGGAAGGGTGGTATCAGAGGCTATCAGAAGCGCAGTTTTAGAAGGCTGATGGTCCACTGGGGAGTCACTGAGTGACGGCTCCTGAGATTGCAGATCTCTGGATCATGTTCTCAATAAACCCTGGGTTGGGGATCCAGCTCAGTGCTTGCCCACCATGTGCAGGGCCCAGGTTCAATCCCTAGCACCACGGAGGGTTCTGTTTTTTCTGGATTTTAGTAATCTAGTAGTATACAGAAGGATAAATCAGATAAGAAGCTAAGAAATGAATAAGAAAACTAAGTGTGGAATAAAGCCATGGAAGAAATTTCAGCCAAAGTCAATGTCATTTGGAATAGCTGCCTGTAGCGATCAAGCGGAGAAGTCTTGCGAGCCCAGAGAGCCAGCACTGTTTTCTGTCACAGATGGGACTGTACAATCTGGTGGGAAACTGGCATTCCAGGGCTATGGTAAATGGGGGAAATCACAGATAAACTATTCTGCTCTGCAGATAAAAACATCAAAACTAAATTTATATAACACAGGTTGCATAATATCTCCAATTTCTAAAACTTAACCTTATCAGAATAACGCACAGGTTAACAGGCATAATAATGAAAGCCAATACCTGAAGAATCTGGTCTCCAGCAAGCAGTCTCCCATCTCTGGCGATGATCCCATCTCTGTAGACCTCCTGGATGACAATGTTAATGAGTGGTGTCTCATTGCCACCCACGATGCTAATTCCTAACTGAATGTATGGATTAGATCTGTGGATTTCAATGGTGGTAATTTCTCCTTCTGGTAAACTAAGAGGCTGTTGCGTAGCTGCCAAGTTAAAAAAATGGGAGAGGAAGAACAGATAGAGAAATAAGGTTTTACATTCTGAGTCTGTCTGGTTAAATAAGACATCTCATGTTAGCATGTAGATGATTAATAACTAAATGATATCACTGGGTAAGAATCAATAACAAAACAAAACAAAATAAAACGAAGTGTTAGAATTATCTAGCTTGGCATGGTGTACCCCTAACAATACTTAGCAGGCTGAGGCAGGAGGATCATGAATTTGAAGCCAGTCTGGGATATACAGTAAGTTCATGGTCAGCCCAGAATGTGTAGTGCGGTCCTGTCTTGGGGGGGGGGGGGTGGGGGGAATCCAAAGATCATCCATAAGTAACTAATAAATAACCACATGACAGATCAGTGGGATGACTCAATGGCCTGACAAACATTAACAGAGTTCTCTCATTCTTGCCCTGTATGATAAGAGAAAGTCTGAATCACAAGATGCGTACAAACCATGCTGGGCAGTAGAAAGTTGATCTCTGGGACACAAACTCACAAGGCCCGAGGGAGTTCCCTCTGGTACTAAGTCTCAGCAGATAAAAAGAATTAAACCCACGGCAATAAAAATTTGAATACTTTAAAATAATTTGCAGCCTATAAGAGAAAATGATTTTTGAAGAACACGTAGGGCCAACTACCAACCCAAAGCAGGACCTGCACCACAGTTTCTGTCTGCTTCCTAGCGGGGTGGGCAGAGAGAACAGTGCTGCTCCAGAAGCCTGATGTTACAGAGCATTTCCTCGAGTCAGCGGCCAAGTTTCTAGCCACCTAGGGGCTGTGTGAACTTGACTGTTTAATCTCAAGCTTCAGCTGTCTTATGTTTTTTAAAAAACCTCCTAAAGTTGTTACAACCATTTAATTAGTTAAGAGAATGTGCTTCTTAGTACAGTACTTGGCACAGAAAAAGCACTTAATTTGAGCTATTATTTTGGTTTTGGTTGTTCTTTTTTTTTTTTGCTTTTTCGGTTTTTTATCGGTACCAGGGATCGAACTCACGACCGCCTGCTTGCAAGGCAGGAGCTTATGCCGCTGAGCTAAATCCCCAGCCCTGGTTTTGGTTGTCCTTGATATTGATTTTGTATGCTGAGAACAAAACAAGTTTCTCAACACATCCACACGAATAGTGTAGCGAGAAGCACACAAACAACTAGGGCTTTGTGGACTTCGATAGAGAAGGGATGAGGAAGGGTCACCTTCCTCACGGTAAGACTCAGGTTTTATTTCTGAAATGCAAACTGCTAGACTGCTTACAGAAGAAGGTGAAATGATGCACTATCTCAACAAACCTTGGTCCTTTAAAAGAGGACCAAGGTCCACGGCAGAGGACTAGGAGAGGAAGTACACAGAAGGATGTGGACTGCACATACTGTCGGCTCCAGCGCTCTCCTCGAAGGCAGGGTTGTCCAGGCCAGGCTCCTCCGGACAGATGGGAAGACACACTAACGCTGAGCTCCGCTCGTTGGGCACTGTGCCTGTCCCCAGCCCTAAGCAGTCTGTTTCTGGGGACAAAGTACCTGGAGGATCTATCACACTGGATCCACTTTCACTTTCAATCTCCGTCTGAGTTTTACTAGTTTTTCTTTTCTCTAGGGCAACTCTCCGATGAGAAGCTCCAGGACATCTATAAAGAATATCAAGTGGTTTCCAGATGATTAGAAAAGGAAAAAGAGGAAGGATATGAATTAGTGGCTTATATCTTGAAACAAGAATAGCAATGGCTTCTATGCAAAAAGAACCTAGAAGTATTCACAAGCACTATGTAATTCTGATGCTAATCTCTATTAATTTTTTAACATTCTACACAACAAATTAAAAACAAAAGCCACTGGCATGTACAGAAATTTGGTAAACACCTCAAAGAATGCTTCAGCAAAAAACCATGTTCAGTTATATAACAGTCACCAGCAGACATTCCAAACAGCTGCTTCTGTACTGCAAGAACGATCCTGAAATCGCATCATGCCACCCTTTTCACAGACGAAACGTCCCAAGCGAAGGAGTGGCAATCAGCTGTCTTCTTAACCTCAAGGCCTTAGCCACTCTCTGCGGTCACACTACACGGTCATTCACAGCGGGTCCCAGCACACCCGAGGCTTTATAGCTTGCAGCGAGGCACAGCAAAGGGTCAGGAAGTTATGACAGACACAGAAAACAAAAATACATCTCTCACACTGAAAAATCAGAACTGCAGTAGTGGCATTAGAGATATACTGGGGTTGAAGAATAAATTCCAAGTATACTTAGAAAACATGAGCACAAGGAACGGTTAACAGGCTTGTTTTTATTTCTTTACGTGAACAGGAAGAGCACATGAGAATTAGTTTAATAACCAATGAAACGTTTAAATAAAAGCTTTACGTAACAGATACTAGCAGTGATGTTCAGCGGCCATCTCCTAGTCCTTGACTGGAAAAGGTGACCAATAATGCCCAGTTTGAAGAGCAGGAAGAAGATATGGGATTGGTAAAGAACTACCTCCAGCCTTGGGAGGGCTGGGGAGCCCCAGCCCTTAGGCTGAGTGTTGTACCCATTCATTAAATGACAATAGTTTAAAATATCCAATACTTCTAACAAAATGAAACACAGAATTCGGTTCAATTAAAACTGAAAGCTACCCAGCTATAGAGATAGTAGGTTTTTCTGCATGAACTAAACCTTTAAATCTTGAATTTCAAGTTCTTGAAAAGGATTGCTCAAAAGCCCTCTATTCTCTTTTTTCTTCACTTCTTGCTTTCTGTCCTTATTAGGAAGGGGACAACTGATTTTCCTCTCAGCACTGCTGTACTTCAGGGAATGTTTTGGAAAAAGTCTTACAAATATTTTTGAAAATTAGATAATGGAAAATGTTACTCTGTTAAGTAATCTGACTTAATTAGAAATCCATTTTCAGAGTATTTTACTCCAAAAACAAAAAAATGTTGAGGCAAAAACGAGACCATAAAGATACTGGGACTGAGAAGATAAAGGTCCCGTTTCTAACAGATCACACATGAATAACCGTATGGGCAAAACTAGTCTTCAAGGGAAACAAATACATCAGGAATGGAAATACAAAGGCAGTGTAAATACAATGTGAACATCTGGAAACTAGCTAACAACTTTCCCTCTTCCACCTTCCCTCAGGAACTGCGGGCCTCCTGCCTGAGAGTTAGAAAATCTACAAATGAACTTTAGGAATAAAGTTGAGAAAGAGGTGAAGAAGTCAGAAAACTTATGTTCCCAATAGGTCAGCAAGTGGCTAAGCAGAGTGGGAAACGGCCAATACGAACAGGAAAGACACTAACACACACATCATGTAAAAATTATCTCATTCAGCACGACAGGACACAGTCTACGGACAGAACCTTTGGAGACAGCTGTATTTTGGGGCGCCTGGGTAGACTAAGACAGAACTACCAGGAGGAAGACTCTGACAAAAAGACTTAAAACTTGACCAAAGGAGATGCAAGTATCAACAAAGAGAAAGAGGCCAATAAGACAATTTCCAAAGAAGGAACAGTAAGACACAGACTTTGCAGTGTCAGTTTGATTTGGGAAACAGAAGGTGCTGTAGCTTGAATCTGAAATCCCCTCCAAATCCCGCATGGAAAAGGGTTGATCTCCAGCCTGTAGTTTCACTGGGAGGTGGCATACGTCTGAAGGAAAGAAGTTAGGTCACTGGGTCCTGCTTGTGAAGGAGATATTGAGACCTGAGATTCTGAATTGAACAGGCCTCTGCCCCAGGTTCCTACCATTACGCACTGTGTCAACTTCAGGCCCAACGCAACATGCAATCATGAAGCAAAACCTCTGAAATCATGAGCCAAAAGAAACCCTTTCTCCTCTTAAGGTATCTGTCAAGAGTAATGGAAAGGAGATTCCCATGGGTCACAGTGGCCTAGGAAAGAGCGCTTTCCGTTGGTGGGGCAAAAGCGTACAAACAATTGTATTAACATCACAAACACACTGACGGAAACTAAACAGTAAAAATGACAAAACTTCAGGGAAAAAGGGGTAGGAAAGCACATTCAAAATTGGAGCATGTGGTACTAACAGGGAGTGGCTGCTAAGGGGCACTGCTGTTACTGAGTTGGGATGTATTAAATTAGGCTGTGATAATGGTGATAAGATTTTGCTACCATACTAAACATCATTCAACTGTACACTTTAAATATGTGACCTTTACAATATGTGACATATACAATAATAAAGCTAAGAAATCATTAGGGAATAAGTAGATCAGGGTAGCTTGGACAGAGGAAAGTCACGACCAAGAGAGCTCAGAGCCATGATCCTTCACGTTTGTAATACCTGGAACTGAGAGAAAGGAAACAAAAAATAAAAACAAACACACAACCAAAAACCAGTATCTGGGGCGCATACATATTCTGTGCCTGTCACTGTGAAATGACCTATGTATCATTTCACTGTATCGTCATGACTACTCTATTAAGCCATTTTTACAATTGGGAAACTCTGAGGCTTGACTAACTAGGCCAATATCCATAACTAACTGCAGAGCCCAAATTCATATGAACTCTGGTCAGATTTCAAAGGTTTGTGTCCTTTTCTTTTTTGCCATACTAAATTCGCTGATGTAGAATTTTTTCTTAAGTCTTATGAAAACACAAATTGGATTTGTTCCACAGACTTGTTCCTACAAACACAACCACAGAATGCTAGAGCTGGAAGGGCTTAGTGATCACTAAACAAACAGAACCAAAGTCAAATGCATCGTTGGGAATGGAACGTTTAGCAGTAACACAGGCTGTAATTGGCTTTGAAGGAGGTCACTTGATTTATTTAAGCAAGTAACTCAGGGGAGCAGAGCAGTATACAGACATTTAAAGCAAGAGAACAGCAATGCATTTAATAGTTAACGAGATCAGGGCAGCATGTGGAGATGCGGCAGTGACATCTGCCACAGGCAAAGGTTGCACTTCCTCAGGGAGGGATCTCCAGAGGCGGGTGTGTCTCTAAACTTTTCCTAAAATGAAACCAAAGGGCTCATGCAATAGGCAAAGGCCAAACAGAAGAATTTTTCCTTTCTTGCTGAAGGCTACGTATCTATTTCCATTACTTCAGCCTCCTTTATGGAACTAAGATGATTTATGCCATATCAACATCACTTTCCTGATAACAACTGTATATGATTTAATTCATATTAGGACACATATGGTATAACAGAACACACCAGGTTATTGAGAGAATTAGCAGTGGTGGTGGTGGTAGTAACACAGTTTAGGTAAAATACAGTGACGCACGCTAAGAACACATGCCAGGGACTTAACGGAACTGAAAGAGTATGCGCATCCTAGAGTCAAGAAGAATGATAAAAACAGATAAACCTCACAAAACCCAACTCATTTGATGTCAGCGCAGTGGCACGTTGAAGATATCTGAATAGCCTCTCCTCCATATAATAAAGCCTGGAAAAAGTCATCAAAACTATTTCTGAACTCTAGAAATTAGTCAAAGGATCACAGCAGTTCAAAGTCTATATTTAACCACTGAACAGCTGATGCCGAGCTCCATTCGAGCAGTGTTCATGGTCTATCCCAAGCACTGCTCAGACAGGTGTCATCTCAACCAATGAATTCCTGTATTGAATAAATTTGATAAATCTGCCTTTGCATTTCCTATTACATTATCTTATAAAAATTAATGAAAAAATGGAATTTTTGTCCATCCTGTATATGAATACCTAGACTGGTAAGTGGCTAAGAGAAACGGCTGGTTCTCAGGAAGAACACCGAGGGTTGTGGCATTTGGACATAATTACTTGCTATCGCAACTGCCCAGGGCCATGGCAGACTGGAAAAGCAGGTAGTGAAAGCAGGAATCTTACTTTGGCTACTAGTGAAGCTGATTAAAAGCATTTCAAACCCACGTGTTTGGAGAATTGTGACCTCTTGGCCTGTCCATGGTTCCTTGAAGACTCCATCTGCAAGGGTGTCTGATTTACAGCCTATTCTGAGTTAGCATTTTCACTTGGGGGCATTTGTTGAAGAAACAAACAAACAAACACAAAAACAGGGAGTTAAGACTATAGTTGCCTCAGGAAGGCAAACAAAAGGCTACCAAGAGGTTAAGAAAAGCTCAGGAATGGAACATCCACACAAATCCAGGGCTGTGTGCGCACACAGCAAAGACCTAGGAAGGCATGAGCTCTCTTCAGGTGATGCTGAAGCTGGCAGAAGGCAGGAGAGGAAGGCACGGCAGAGCGTCTATCCCTGCATGCTCACTGTGTGGCAGGGACACTGAACCTCTCAGGAAGGCTGGGAGATTTACTGGTTCTACCTGATTCAACAGACAGCTGGATAAAGGAACAAATGATGAACGTTTTAGGGCTTTCCATGATAACATCTCCCATGGCACACGTGTGACAGGTTTGCCACCACAGATTAAAGACACCAATTAGCAGGGTGTGTTAAAAAACAAAACATGATTCCACCATACTGGATGCTGCCTACAAAAGTCGTAACTCACATTTAAAGATATAAATATCCCCAAAGCCTAAAAGTAAAATATGGATAAATATATGTCATGCAAATCAAACAGTAACCAAAGAGAGTTAGGTGAGCAAACCAGTTTCAAAGGAAATGGATTTTAAGACAAAACTTTTTTCTAGTGACAAAGAAC